ATTTATTTCAAGTAAACACTGCCACATTTCCTGCTCAAACTAAATCTTTTAAGCAAAAACCTAATGATGGGGCCAGTATTCTCTGACTTTTCATGTCCTTGCACTCACTAACCCGCAATGCTGCCCCTTCATGAGACGTCACCTTCTGAAAGCAAAGCTCCTGGTCCAGGTCCTTCTGTCGTCGGCCAGCTTGCTGCGACAGGCAATAGTAGCCGAGATGCATACTAACTAACGTTTGGGGTTATTTGTGAAAATATCCAGCCTTAAAAGTCTCCAAAACCAGCTGTGAAAGCAGATGCTGCCAGTAAATCAGTTGTTTCATCCATTCAGCCAAAAAGAAAATACTGAATGCAGCAACACAAGATGGTTGCAAAAAGTGATAATTAAGGATTCAGGTCAGTTATTTATTTTTATTTATTTATTTTTTTTTATGTGAGATTAAAAACTGATAAATTAGCAGCCCCCTAAAGCGAGGGACAGAGCTAACAACAACTCCCGCCTTACACAATGCAAATTAAATGTTTCACCAGACATTAAACGTAAAAACAGCAGCATCACTGAGTGAAGTAGCGATTAGTCCAAAAGCTCAGGGCTGCCTCGTATCATCAGTCGGAGCACGAACTGCTTCCCATCCAATCTGGATGACGAGTGCTCCGAGAAACTCCAAGCCCTTTAGCTTTTGGAGCTGACATCATAGTGGTGCCAGGATTAAAAATTTAGTTTTAATTCTTTAAATTGCCCCAAAAAAACAAAAAACAAAAAAACAACCACCGTGGCTGAGCTGCATCCATAAATGAGGAATCTAGCATTGAAGTGACGTTTTGTGCATGAAATCTCAGGAAATCTTATGTCAAATTTGAATGTAAATGAAATTAATAGGAAGTTTTAGCAGCTTTAATGTAACCAGATATGATCGTTCTTTTTCACAGCTCAGTGTAAACAGATGACACACTGCAATGCTGCTGCCAAAGCATCGAAACAGAACACCATTCCAGTTGGTAGACAAAATAACAAGCGAGGGCCGTCAACAATCAGATACACAGATCTAATCCCAAGCGTCAAAACAGAAGGTTTGTTGCAGGCATGAAATTGAAAACAGCACAGAGTCTCATCATAAACTCCTCACAGCTGTGTTGTTGAAACTTACTCATCTGCCGATCACCGTAGCTGATAGCTTCCGCAAGCGGACTCCACCCCTGTGCATTCTTGATCTTAACGGGGGCATTGTGAGCCAGGAGGAGAAGAGCACACTCTGAACAACAAAACACACAGAGACAAACGTGTAATATATTCTGTGCATGGTTAATCTGACATGCCCAACATTTCATCAACAAAACTAAAGAATTTAGATTCAAAGGAAACAAGCTAATCCAAGAATCTAAAGAAGCCCTTTATGGCTGCTGTCTCATGTGCATCCTGCCACTTCAACTATGTGGCCAATATAAACACAAGAGCTGTTTGAATGCAAAAAAAAACAACAACTAAGAAATAAAAAAAGTCAGAGGGGTAAGGAGAAGATGATGAAATCTAGTCTGTGTATTAGCCAGGACATGATCTAAGGTACTTTATATTTACTACTGCTCATTTTTCTAGACAGCAGTTAATAACATAATAAACTAGGATGACTTTGACCTCCTCGCGCCAGTAAAAATGCTTCGCCCTCCATTTAAGAGGAAACCCGTCCCAGTCTGCTTTCTCATCACTTCTGCCCAGCTCATTTCCCACCTGATCGTGAAGGATCACGCCCGGTGTTGAAATTTTGATGCACATTTTGTACAACAGGAAAGAGCAATGACAGGAAAATAAAATCCATGTTTTAAGAAAACACTAAATGTTCTACGCTAATCATCCAGGCCGTATGTGATGTGCATTCGAACCACTCTCTGTCTGAGCGTGCACAGTTGCTGTTCATTAAGAATTAACAAAGGTGTTAAAATAAAATGCTTTATGTTCAGTTAGTGGAGGATGTTCCTAAATGCAGTGAGTGAACAGGTTTAGCCAAAATGCTGGGGACATTTTTCCTCTATTAGGACTTTCAGAAAGCATAAAAAATATTCTTGCTAGTTGTCCAAATTCTAACGAACACCTGCTGTTAAATTTAATTTACAAATATCTTTGTCTCCATGTACTGGCTTCTTTCTGAGATGATAGTGATTAAACTATGCTGTACTGCATCAAGCATAGGAATGGGCTAGACTGGTTTTAAAAAGTTGATTCCTGAACATTTCATCATATTGTGTTTAAGCCACCCGCCAGAAACCAGTTGCTGTGGATTGCCATGTGGCTGGTTTAAAATATAAACTGTTTCAATGAGTCCACGTTTCTAATTTTCTTTATTAGCACAACCGCTCTAGATACAAAAGAAAAGACTGGTTTTAATGCAGAGTGTGAACGCATCACATGTAAAATATTTTTGTTAAAATCCTAGTTCCTAAGTTGTGTGGCACACTCTCAATTATATTTCACAATAAAAACAGATTACCCCTAATTTACTGGGATACACTTCTGGTACTTGAGAACTTTCTGAAAAAAATATCCAAGGTAAAAACTGAAAAAAAAAAAACCCAAAAGACTTAAATAGTTATTTTGCTTTACCTTTGTGGCCCAACATTACAGCAAGGTGGAGAGGTGTGTTCCCTAAGAAGAAAAACAAATCAATCCATGTCCGGGTCAGTGATCTTAATCAAAAGGTAAAAATTCTAAGATAGATCCAAGATACACATAGCAAGACTCCAAGAACACTATGCGGCCAGAAGGTGGATGTTCAGTGTGCTGTATCAGAATATTCATGGAAAGTTAACTGGAAGGACAAAGTGGCTGCTAATTTAGTGCCCTAAACACCTTGTGAATGTGTCAATGATTGTCTGCTGCAAACTGTGAAATCAATCACATTAGATTGCTATTTTATTTATTTTACTTTTTTTTTTCATAATTATCTTTGCATTATAGTGAAAAGCAGCTAAGAAACCTTCATCCCCTTTTGGTAATTAATTTATGTAACATAAGTTTTACTTTTATAATGGAATAACTGATATAAATGAACTTGATTACATTCTAATTTAATAAAATGCATGAATACAGTCTGGGCCAATAGTTAGGTAAAAACAATATATGGGGCAAGTGTAAAAAGATTACCATGCACGTCTTTTTGAGAGATGCTGTGGGTCCTGATGAGAGAGGAGAGGCGACGGACATCCCCTTTGAACACACACTCGTGAACCGGAAACTCCAGCTCCTCACTTGTCAGGATTATTGGGTTTTTGTTGTCGTCATTCACAACTGATGCGTTGCCGTTTATGTTGTTCGCATTGAGCTGCTGCTGCTGTTGCAGCGCCGAGGTCTTGACAGATTTCTGAAAAGCCTTGTTAGACCTGAACAGGTTACTATTACCATTAGGAACCGTCCCGTTGGAGGTCTCATCGTAGGTGTCCATTATCGCTTCATTCTTATTTGCTTTATTATGATCCTTCCGCATGGTGCGTATCTTATCACCTGTCATGATGACTACCGTGCGTCGGTTGGATTACTATAGCTACTACAAAATGGTGAGGATGAAAGTGAACATGACAAAAGTCCTTATTTATAATTTTAAAAAATTGCGAACTCCTATTTTTAGTTTATATATAATTTAAATATATGCACTTGACAGACTGAACCCCAACATTAGCTTAAACCATCCGTTAGCTTGCTAGCCCCAAATAAAAAAATGAATACGATGGGTGCGGCGATGAATACAGAAATTAACCTTAAACATAACAGAACAGAACACAAACGCACAAAATGAACACAAAGAGAGAAGCTAAAACAACCTGTAGACGACTACATCGTTGTGTCTTCTACCACCTTTTAAATGTACGATTTAAAATAAAATCGGTTCAGTCTTTGCAGCAAAAGTCGGGCGGACAGGTTGGTACAATGAGACAACCGAGCTAACGTTCTCGCTCCCGACACTGCGAGCAGACCTCGCGAGATTATGGAAATTAGGTTTGATCGAACTGCTCTGGGTCTGAACGTAAATTTGCGGTGGGATTTATGGCTCTGTTTCGCGATCCAAATCAGTTGGCCGAGTTCCCCGAAGAGAACTGATTCCCTTGGACTTTAAATTAAATTACAATACAATATTATTCATATTTCCCCAAAAACAAACAAACAAAAAAAAAAACAAAAAAAAAAAAAAAAAAACGGATGGTTAAGCAAAAGTGTTGATTATACATCTGATAAGTAAACTAAAGAACAACTACTGTGTTAGAAAAACAAGAGCCCTAAACAACCCAAACCCCTTGGGGATGTTTTTTTGATTCTGTAGGTTTAAAAACATTTCAGATTTCTATCTACAAGAGGTTTGTGAAATCTAAATCTTTATATCTGATTTCATTTCATCACTGTGAAATATAGATATTTTTTCTAAGTTTTCAGTAAACACCTATTATGAAATTAAATTTCAAACAAGCAGAGTCAGTAATTAGGAGACTCATGAGAACAGTATGCGCTGCATTTTATTTAGTGATATTAGAAAAAATATTGAATACATATACACATCACAATTTTAAGATTAGTAAAAAAAAAATCTCTGAAAACTGTGCTTTTTTTTACTTCTGCTTCATAATAAAGAACTCCTTGTGTTGGTCTGAACAATTTTGCAATGCACTGTAAAACAGCAAAAATCAGAAACAAACAGAATGAAACAAAGAATAAAAAGCAAATACTTCCAGAATGCAGCCCCCAACAGAGGAAGAGTTAGTCTGATTGGATTGAATAGGGAGCATTTTTAATCTCCTTGGAGAAACAGAATAGAATATAAAATGTGGACACTTAAACACACTAATCTTACCCCATATATCTGGCTTAAAAATAATAAAAGACAATTCTTGACTTTAAGACTGTGTATATTAAGCCCGATGACAGAACCATGTTTCACAGTTGGTGAATCTTTGAGTTGGACTCCCTTCCAGATGGTGGCGCTGAAGAGGTGAGCCGTGAGAGCAAACACAAAAGGAAGCGCGACATATCTGTTTGTGGCGCAAGTAGCTAGCTAAGCTAACACGCTTCGTTACCAAGAATGGCAACGTCCAAGAAGGGGAAAAAAGTAGTAAATCAAGAAGAACTCCGGCGGTTGATGAGAGAGAAACAACGACAGAACACGGAGAAGAAACGCGTGGAATCTCCCTTCGCCAAATACAACAGTTTGGGTCACCTGAGCTGTGTCCTGTGCTCTGTGCAGGTGAAGTCTGAACTTCTGTGGCCAGCTCATGTTCTGGGGAAGCAGCATAAAGACAAGGTTGCAGAGTTGAAAGAAGGAAGGGGCCAAGCAGCTGTGTCACAGAGTCACCCTGTAAAAAGGAAAACACAGGACAGCGTGGAAGTTGTTGGAAAAAAGGCCAAACCAGCTGGCCAGTCTGAGGCGAGTTTGCCTGGAGACTTTGAGAAGCCCTCCGAAAAGGCGTCTGCTTCCACACAGAAATCTGCAGGACTGAGCCTCTTAGCAGGCGTTTACGACGAGGACGACGATGAAGACGCTGTCGAAGCCGATGTCCCAGCGCAGCCCGCTAAAGAACTGCCAGCTGATTTCTTTGACAGCTCCATCCCACCCACGCCTGCCATTTCCCACTCAGGGTCTATCCTCAAAGCAGACGCCCCAGAGAAGACTCCCGAAAAGAAAGACAACACTGCCGAGGCGCTGCCCGAGGGCTTCTTCGACGATCCGGTCAGAGACGCCAAAGTGCGGAACGTCGACGCCCCGAAAGATCAGATGGACAAAGAGTGGGAAGAGTTTCAGAAGGAGATCCGACAGGTGAACACAAAGTCTGAGGCCATCGTGGCAGAGGACGATGAAGAGGGACGCCTTGAGCGTCAGATCGACGAGATTGATGAACAGATCGAGTGTTACAAAAGAGTGGAACTGCTGAGGGACAAGCGGGATGTGTTGAAACGTAAATCAGGGCCAAGAAAGGATGAAGAAACGGAGACTGGTAATAACAATGAGGAGCAGGAGGGAGAAGAGGATGAAGAGGGGTTGCTGGGGCTTTTGTCCCAAGACTGGAGGGCCAAAGGGGCTCTGGCCTAGAGTTCTTCATGTAAAACCTGGTTTTGTTAAGATTGCTGATACATTTGCTCTTAAACATAGTTTTGGTAAAAGCCGCGACCTTTTGTAAATGCCATTTTCATTCATGCAAAAAATACTTGAGTAAAACACATGCTACACAAAATGAAATTTTCTGGATGTATCCTTAAAAAAACATCAGAAACTAAAGCCTTTAACTGTCTTTATTCATTGGTGCTCAAAACAACAAAGACATTCATAAAATCTCATTTACAGTTGCTTTGGGGACCCAAAAATCTCTGTGAGTCAAAAGCTTAACTAACCTTCATCCTGAAAGGAAACATTTTATTTAAGTATGTACTTATGTTAACATGGTGAATTTAACAAACATGTCATAATCAAATGGTAACTAATACCTTGATAAGATCAATTACAGAGCAGTTAGACCCCTAATATCTTTTTAATTTAAAGCATTAAAATGGAGAACACGTTTTTGGTCTAAAGAGGTATTGATCGAATGTGTAGTCAGATGCATTTTTTTTTAGGTAAGATCAGGAACATGTTAGCATAAAAGTGCATCAGACCTAAAATATCAAAAGGTTATTTAAGAAATTTACCAGAAAAGTGAAACTCCTAAAATTTAACATTCCTGGTTATTTTAATGATTCTTTACAACTACCCAATACCCAAATTTTAGCTTCTCAGAAAATTGAAATATTAAAGACCAAAGAAAAGGGATTTTGAACAGAAATGTACCACAGCGAAATTAATCTGGCTCTTCATCGAGAGCTCTATGCAAGCATATTACAGAAAGGTGAGTGGAAGAAAAACTGTTGGCACACTGTCTAAAGTACCAAAACATTGTTTAACGACCATTTTATCTCATTATGTTTCGTAAGCAAACTTTCCAGATTTATTGTCAAGAGGATGATGAAAGTATATCTGGAAGACCCAATTACCCAATCAAGAGCGAGTGCATAAGCTGGACAGTAACTGGCCATTTTTGGTTGGCCAGTAGCATAAAATCCTTTGTTTTTTTATAGGTCGTGTAGTCTATTGCAAACACAAAATTAATATCTGAGAAAGTACATTTTGAGTTTTCCTTTGCTGTCAGGAAAACTACAATTCCTAAACAATTAGTCTCTATATGTGATGAATCTGATTTTGACTTTTATTTACTGGAGTAAATAAAAAATTTCAGACATTCTAATTTGTTAAGATGTATCTTTATTGTGACCCAATTAATCAATTATCTGATGGATTTCAAACTATCAATTCTGTCAATTAACCTAGTATCGACAAAAAAAAAAAAAAAAGCCTTGTCGAGTATTTGTGTGATTAAATTTTAAACAACCCATCCCGTCTGACAATATAAGAAGTCTCAATATGGACATTTTATGAATACACTCATAGTTAGGTCCTTTATAATGCAATAAAATGTATCAAGTAAATGATGATGGTCAGTGTTTTTCACACTACCCGTTACATATTGTGAGCTCGGTGTGCCTTCATTCCACTGGAGTACTTATTGCTACATATGCCTCATAAATAACCCTTAAAAATTCTTGTAAAGAGTTTGTAGCCCTTCAAATCTGTGAAATATTGAGAAATGAGAAAAACAAAAACAATATGCAACAAAACTACAGATAAATGCACAGATGGACTAAGTACATGATCACAACTAAAGGTGGAGGAAAGCACTTCAAACTTTAGTTTTAGCTTAGAAAAGAGCATACAAAAGTTCTGACTGTTCGTACACTTGATTGTTTCTGAGATGAGCTAAGAAACTGTCTAAAAACACAAAGAAAACCTCAAAAAAGCCATTTCTAGTAGTCATTTGTAAACATTCATAAAAAGTCCTTCTCCGCAAACTTGTTTGCATCCTACAAAAGTTTTAGCTGAGCTGAACCAGGTGTTTATGTACACACGTGGGAACATCTGCGATAATCTAAAATACCTTGACAATAATCATTACATCAGGATGAGACAGAAAAACAAACAAACAAACAAACAAAAACTAAACACAATTATATAACAGAAACACTTCAAGTTGAAGCCCTCAGGTGGAAAACAGGACTTGTTCAAGGTCTACAAACATGATTTCAGGAACTCTGGTTAAAATAAGATCTGATTTTACAAACAGATACCTGTATGGATAACTTCTAAAATTTAAGAATTTTTGTTTTTTTTGCTGACAATATACTTCAGTTGGCCTGGGGGAGAGGTGTGAGAGGACGGCATACCAGTGCCACTTTTACCACCATCAAAATGATAAATATTCAGTTCACAGAAGGTGCAGCAACTACAAATAAGGGTTGGGAATCCCAGACCCGCTCCCAGACCCTGCTGGGTGTTCAATACTGTTCTCTGCTCTCAGTGACCCTGAGCTCACAAACCCACAGCAGCTCTCAGCTCCATGAGGGAGTACTTCCGGTCTCCATCATCAAAGCACGCCAGGGCGTGTTCGCTGGGAGTCGACGTCCCAAACAGCAACTTCAGCTCTTGGTAAGTAAGTCCAAGGGAGTCGTGTCTGACTCTGGCTCGCTGGTAGATGTCTTCAAGGTCTGAAAAAAAATCCGGAAACACAAATAAAATGATGGAGTTTCAGTGTGTTTTAGAAAAGGAACAACTATTACAGGAACACGTATATGTAGTTGAATGCTATGCAAGTTGAACAAATAGCCATGCTCATGGCAAATTGACTAAAACATTATAGGGATCTCTTGAATTAAATAAACAAACTATTATCACATTTCCTTTTTGACTAGGCTTTATTATCAACTTCCTCCCAAAACTGAAAACACATAAACATATGGATGATTAAGTTACTACTTATAAAAAACTTTACGCATTGCAACAAACAACTTTTTCCAGTATGAATAAATATGCAAAAAACACCCTGATTTAGCTCTTTGTTAAAGAAATAACACACGTTTTTAATGAAGGGAGAGGTGTCCAGGTTGTGTACCTGTCAGAGAATTGATGCCAGGCAGCAACACCCTCCCTGGACATTTTGTTCCAGCATTCCTCCTAAATCGCCTTGGAGTCAAGAAGCGAGGACGTCTGCTGGTCTGGGTCACTGTCAGCGGTGTGGACATTTCTGTCATAGGAAGATTATGTTAAACAGCTACAGAGTGCAAAGAAAGCCATGAGGATAAATTGCTTTTTTCTACACAATACCTTCCAACTCCTGAGGTGTTTCTTTCAGTGTTGTTGTTTCTGTCACCGTCTTAGTTTCAGGCTTTTTACTGCTGACAGCCAGTGAAGCTACTGTGTCATTATACTGCAACTGCATAGCAGGAAGAAGGCAATTAAATTACTGTGTGTTTGGAATCTGTGAACTCAAAGAGTTGGAACTAAAAGTTCAGTATTTTGCTGTTGCTGTTTTTTTTCTTTCTTTCTTTGAATGGTTAAATTTTCAAGGGGTTCATTCACCCAAATTCATTGTGCGTTCAGCTCTGTCAAGAAAATTCATTTTTAACAAGGGGATCAGTGGCAGTTGCCTTCCAATTGCATTCAAGTTGACTTAAGACAGTGTTTGTGAAGTTTTGAAAATTTTTCCCCCCTTACAGAGTGATGACAGTAACCAAAAATTTAATAAGGAAAACAATTGGCTAAGGAAAATTTATTTGAAAAAATGCATTTAGTTATTCTGATGAGGAGATCAACTGTTATCTGCTGCTGTTTGGATAAAACAAATTCAGAGGGAAAAAGCACATGTATGTATACATAAATTTAGTCACCATAGAATTAGGGTATTACTCACGCTGGGCTTTGACCCGTTCTCTAATGAGGCCACTCTTTGATGGAGGTCTGCAACAGTAGACAGAAGAATGTGGATCTGCTCATCAGTCCACATATGGTGCTGCTCCTCAGTCTTATTGACCTCACCCATGGCTCTTTTTAGGTCTGTGATGTCCTGCAAAAGATATGCAAGATGTCAATATATCTGCAGTTCAGAGTTGTACGAACAAAAATGGAGCACAGCTTCGGAGACAGGAAGAGGTATCTGGAGATATTTACTTCCCAACATTGAGTGGCGACATAAAAACATCTGATTTTTGTGATACAGAAAAGTGAAACAGTGATAAATGATTCAAAAATTAGTTCTGCAATGTTGTGATATATTCCAAGTACAGTTCACATAAAAAACAAGTATACTGTATTAAAAAAATATAAAAGCCATAAGGCTGCAATAACCTGAATGCATGTATGCACACCCTTAAATTAAAGATTTAAAATGTATAAATATTGCAAAAATATCAGTTGTGATTTGTGCATATTTTTCTATTTTCTCTCTCTTATCTATTATTCCTACATTCTATTATCTTTAGCATTTTCTTTAATTTGTGTCTGGTGTTTGCATCTTAACTGTGAGAATAAGACAATATTTTAACTCCAAACTGTCCCTTGGGATGCAAGTATAGCACACCCTGACATTGCAACAATATATTCAGAATATATCAGAATATGGTCTGTGGTCTGTTTGCAGCCTCAAGTCAGCTTGAGGCTGCAAACCAGTCATAGTCATAAAAAATAGGAACTTTTATCATTTGCAAAAACAATTCACATAACTAAAACTTGCAGTTTTAGTTATGTGAATGAAGTTAAGAACAGTTTGGGCTCAAATCCTTATGACCCAAGAAAATCCAATCTGTCATTTTTCCATAACTGAACTGATGCTTTGATAGTTTTCAAAGCATCTGCAGTCACACCAGTCATGTTGGATTTTATTCAATGTTTACATGCGAGACATGAGTCATAATTCTGCACCAGAAAAAGCCATTTCTTAGCTTCCTTCATCTTGTTATCATCTAGTGACGATAACACTGGCTCCAGTTGCTCAACTTTAAAATCAAACCATTATTACTTCTGTAAACAGTGTGCTATTTTGTGACTTCTGTGTTATTCATCTGGTAAAATAAAAACATCTTCAACTGAGTCTTAGTTAAAGAGTGTCCATGCTAATGCAACCAGGATATTACAAATTTTTTTTCTGCAATCATCTTTGTTTATTATTCATTTATTTTTGTTATGGCCTGATTCCAAAACATTCCTAAGAGGGATGAAGTGCACTCTTCAGAAGCTCTAAACAGAGCTTGCAAAACTATAGGTAAGACAAAATTATTGAGGTCACGGTATTATAAATACACGCATGCAAATTATTTGTTGACTTTCTCCTTTCATCGTGTTGCGCTTGTAAAGAAATAAGGAAAATATTTTTC